TAATAAAATTGTTTGTTAATATTAATTAGAAAAATCAAACTATTTATCAATTAATATATTTATTTCAATTAGTTATAAAACATAAATTATAAAAATTACTATAATAAAACATATATAAGTTGCACAAGTAACATTCTACACTATATAATAATATATATTTTTTTTTTTGTAAAAAAGTGAATAAAATTTAAAATATTTTTTTTCATTAATTTTAAAATTTCAGAATAATTTTTTAACAAGAACCCTTGTAATACACTGGTGTTGTACTAGTTACTTGTTTATTCACAACTTGTGCAGAAGGATGTGCAGCACAAGTACTTGCACCTGTATCTATATATCCATGAAGATGATATAGTTTATATCCAATGAATTTAAAACCCACCTTGATATAGGTACTATTAGGGTTAGTTATATTTAACAATCGTTCCATTCTTCAGAACTTTTATCTGTGCAACTTTCCCATTTTGAGTTAGGTTTTGAATAGCATTGTTTATATTCTACATCAAATTTTAATTCATATTATGAATCATTAGACTCACTCTCAGATTTAATTGGTTCAAAGTTTGAATATTTGCATTGCATAAAGCATTTTAGCTTTATCCTTACTTTTTTTCTTTTAGGTCATTCATTCCCATAATGACATTCTTCTTGACATAACCAACATTTGCAGTTAGTTTTCCCTTTGGGCAATATTTTTCTTATCTTTCAATCCTTCTTATATATCTGGGTTTGTTCATTTTATAGTTTTCTTTTTTGTATTTCTTATATTTAAGAATATACTTTTTGTATTTTTTAAACTTCTGGTGTTTTAAATTTTCGAGAATGCCTTTCTTTTCTAGTTCTACAACCCCATTTATTAGGTATCTCTAAAAACTGAGGATCACAACATGGTTTGTTTTGATAGTATACAAGAGTTCCTCTTAATTGAGTGTCTTTACATCTATCTTTCTCTCCCTACAAAACCTTCTATAATATGATCAGGTTTATTGACCATTTTTTGTTCATTTTAAATGCCAATAATGGTGGTAGCTTATTGAAGTATTTTTCAGCATATGCTGGTCTATTATCTTGTTTTAATAAGTAATACCACTTTTCATTTCACGTGTAAAGTTTTTCCAATAACAAATGTCACATATTTAAATATTATCAAGTACAAATTTTGCTTTTTCTGTCTTTCTTCTAACACTACATTTGTGTTATCTAATTCTCTGACTCCTACAAATTCATTAACGAGTAGTTTAGCCAAAGCATTTAGATATTCTATATGATCTTCTGGTTTATTCCTAAGTGCATCAAGGCTTGGAGCATATGGGTTCGAATCCCACCAGTTTCTAACGTTTCCCTTCATATGAAGTTCTAAATATGTTTTTAGTATTCTTAGATCTTCAAACGCTTCTCTATTAGTTTGTATTGCTACTAATATATAATTATACCAACTTTTATATTATTTCAACTGGTTTTGTCAAATAATCTAGATTGAATATGTTATCACTGTGATTATTAAAATTATCTTTACGACTAAATTCCTTGGGAATGTGATTCTTTGTTTTATTTTTCTTGTAAGGTGTTGCCTTACTTCTATCCATATTCATCATTCCTGGAATATTTATTTTTGAGAATGCTTTTTTTTTTTGTCAAATACTCCAAAATACATGTCTGCATTTGGATGATTAAATTAATTATTCGTGTATTCTTTAGGAGTCATGAACTCATGATTGTCACGATATTTACTTTGTCCTGGAGGAATAACTTTAAGATCTTCTTCAATTTTAACATTGATACGATCTTTTGGTTCTAGATTTTCACTTTTTGAACCATAGTTGCTATAATTTTCCAATGAATACTTTTAGAGATAATACATTCTGATATTTGTCTAAGAGAGGCTGATATCAGTTTTCACATTGAATAGAATCGTGTCACTATTCATTTTTCTTCAGGTAACATTTTCCTTCTATTTTTAAAGAAATTACTATGGTCACATTCATTTGGGGGTCTATATGTAGGTATAGACTTATTTTCTTTAATATTTTGTAAAAAAACTTTCTATTTCAAATAGTTTAGTGTCTTGGTTACTGGAATCAGACTGTTGTTGTATACTTTTGCTCTATTTTTAGAACAACTTCCTTTATTTAACTAACTATTGTTAATATTTGTTGTACATTTCCTTTACATGAGTTTTAGCCATTTAATCCCAATTCTTTTTCAATTTGATTTACAAGTAAAACTACTTTGCTTAAATTTTTATTAACGGTTCAATTTGTAGAAGTTTCTCGTCTAATTTTACTAGTGTTTCTTCTAATCAATTTATATTAATTCTATTAATATTTTCTATTATTTTATCAGCTTTTGTTACAATATCAAAAAATTCTGCGAATAGAGTATCTAGAAACATAATATTTCTACTTGTTTTCTCAAATTTTTAAGAATTAATTCTTGATTATCTCAGATTTTTCAATGTTTTTCCAAAGGAGAATACTGCAAGTTCTACCTGTATTCCAAAGATTTAGAACATAAACATATTATTATTTGTATTTCTATTATTTATCAATTTTTCTTGTTTATATTCATATTCATGTCTAGTCTATTTCATTTGTAACACTTAGCACATGAGGGCATAAAAGTCTTTTTTTAGGCTATGTTTGGTAAAACTAGTTGATAAGTTAGCTGGTAGCTGATTAGTATTTTTCGAGCTTATAGCTATGAAAAACTAGCTTGTATGATAAAATTGTTTGGTAAAATTAGTTGATAAGCTAGTTGAAATAAAATTTTCAACGGACTTATTTGAAAAGCTAACTAAAGAAGCTTATGAGATAAACTCGGACTCGTCCGACCAAACGAAACTTATTTAAATACAAGAAGCTTATAAGATATCAAATAAGCTATAAGAGCACCCACAATGCATTGAGTCTCTTAATGAAATATCCTATGTCACATAGAAATAGACTTAGTCTATTAAAAAATGTCTCCAAATGCAATTAAAGGTGGACATGGTCTAGCTTATGTGACAATAAAAAAAGAGACAAAGTCTACACTTAGGTCTATTTTGGACCCAAGTACAAACTCAAACACTCATCATTTATTCCTCATTTAAATTTTTTTTTAATAAATGAAACATATTAGAGCACCCACAATGCTTTGGATCTCTTACAAAATACCATATGCCATGTATGAATTAAACCTAGTCTATAATAAAATGTCTCCCAATGCAATTAAAAGTGAACTTAGTCTAGTTGATGTGACAATAAAAAAAAGAGACAAAGCCCACCATTTGGTCTATTTTAGACCCAAATACAAACCTGACTAGTAAGCAATTATTTATATTTTTTTTTTGTTTATGCTTGTTTTAATTGGTTGACATTTATTCTAGACCTAATCTTTTATTTTTCCATTAGAAAGGTTTTGAATTTATTTTACTTGAGTTATCCATGTCATTAGGACTTAAGTCCACTTATATGCCATACATATAAAATTGGACCAAAAGCATTGTGAGTGCTCTTAGAGCATTTTTATTTGTTGACATGTATGTTAGACCTAGTATTTTATTTTTGCATTGAATAACTTTTGAGTTTTTTTACTTAAATTTGTCCATGTCATTTAGAACTTAAGTCTATTTATACGTCACATATATAAAATTAGACCAATTAGACATAATACATTGTAAATGCTCTGAGCTAGCTTATTCGACCAGATGCAACCTAATTTTGCAAATTTTTGTATTTTTATAAAGCTTTTTGGGTCAAAGGTAATTTTGACAATTTTGGTTGCGAGAATAATTAATTTTACGGAATAATTCTCCCTTATTCACGTACGGCCCACAGTATCTTCTGCAATAAACCCTAAAAACTATCTTAGGGCTTTTGTTCTCTTTATATATCAGTCGGCCGTTCTCATTTTTGGCAGCGGCCTCCAGATTTCATTTTAATTTCTCTCTTCATATATTTGCTATGGGTAAATCCTCCAAGAAATCTGCCTCTAAGGTTAGTAGAAAACGAAACCCAAGACTTGGTTTTGTTTCATCTATTCGTTAAACCTTATCTGTATATGTTTGAGCTGTTCGTGATGTGTTGTTTGATGGCTTTTTGTTTTTGCTTGTAGGTGTCGGCTCCAGCGGTCGTTGCTGCACCTGTTCCTACCAAGCCTTTAAAGAAAGGTTAGTCACTGTATCTTCCTTTACTGATTAGTTACCTCTTATCTTTTGGTCAAGTATTTTAGCTTTCTATGGTGATTAATCGTTTTTTTTCTTCCTTTTGCTTGTACTCTTTGCGGTTTTTTAATGCTCATGTAGCTTGTCTAGTTCTTTTTTGGTGTATTCGTTCTCATTCATTCCAGTTTGTCCTGCTATTTGTTCCTCTATATTCATGGTTGGTATCTGGTTGGTTTTGTTTTCTTATAAGCAGGTAATTAGTGTCAAAATATTATTTATTTAGGATTAGTGCTCTGGTTGGTGTTTAATGATCTGCGGATTTTTGATTTTCAATGTTCAATAGGCAAGAGGGAAGCAGAGGATGTTGCCGGGAAGGAAGTGGTGAGTGCTAAAAAACAGAAAGTGGAGGAAAAGAAGAATGTATTGAAGCCTGAGAAGAAGAAGGCAGTGAAGGTGGAATCCTCGAGTGAGGAGGATACTTCTTCTGAGTCTGAGCATGAGCCCAAGGTTTTGATCTTTAATCAGCTCCACCACCCCATTGTTCATTTGCCTTTTCTCCTTGTCATTTTTTTTTTTTGTTTTGATAATATTTATATTATTAAGTTTGTCTCCTGTCTGAATTTTAACTATAACTACAAGTAGACTGTTTTATGTATGCATTACTAGCAATTTGTTATACTTTTCAAGTAAAATTAAAAATACTTTTAAGTGTGGAAAAGGTACCATTTAAAAATATTTATAAACATTCGAAAGTAAGGCTCGTGTCATTAATGGTGTTAATATCTGCTCAGAGAGTTTGAAATCGTAATAGACTTTAAGTTTTATTACACAAAGGTGTTTGTACTTTATTCTTTGAAAACTAATTGTTCTATTGACTTTATCTATAAATCCTGGAATAGCTGAGGTTTGTTGTTTTTTGTATTTGACTTCCCCAAACTAAGTTTCTTGAACCCTTACCAGGTCAAGGTAGCTGCCAAGAACGGCCATGTGGACTCAAACTCTAAGAAGCCTTCAGTTGCTGCAAAGAACGGTCACTTAGCCTCCAAGAAAAAGGCTGAATCTAGTGATGATTCTGACTCCTCCTCTGAGGATGAATCCAGTTCAGACGATGAAGTTGCTGCAGTTACGAAAGCTCCTGGACCTCTGGCAAAAAAGGGCCCAGCTCCTGTTCCTGCCAAAAAGGACGAATCAAGTGATGATTCTGATTCTTCATCAGACGATGACAGTTCTGATGAGGATGTTCCTGCAGCAAAGAAAGTAACTCCTGCTGTTAGTTACAAGAAATCCGAGGTGCCTACAAAGAAGAAAGATGAATCCAGCAGTGAGGAATCTGACTCTTCAGAAGATGAGACTGATTCTAAAGAGGATGCTACCCCTGCCAAGAAGGCTCCTCCACCCCCTGTGAACAAGGCCCCCGTAGCTGCTATAAAAAAGAAGGATGACTCGAGCAGTGATGAGGAGAGCTCTGAGGAAGATGTCCCAGCTAAGAATCACTTGAAAGCTGCTGCAAAGAAGGATGAGTCGAGTGAGGAATCTGATTCAGATGATAGCAGCAGCTCAGAGGAAGATGTAAGTGCATGGAACTTGTAATTATGTTTCTATATGGTTTCCTTTTATTTGTGATTTATGATTCTTGATTTTTGTTTTCTTTTTGTTTACTGTTTCAGCTACATTTTCTGAAATCAATGTATTTTGTTGTATGTTATTCGTAATTTCTAACTTCTCCATTCATTCTTCTATTCTCGTTCCCTTTATTTGATCACATAGGATCTATAAAGATCCGTTAATTAGCTTAGTGAAACACCCTAGTGATATATATCTTCTCCATGACATGTATTGGTGTCCAATAGTTTTGCTGTTGAAGTTCTTGTTAACGTATTCAATATTGTGATGCATGTGTGCTGAGTTTTCCATGGATTGAATATTGTCATTTCTTCTTGCTATGTGGTTTGCAGGTCCCTAAATCTGCTGCTGTCAAAACGACCACTACTGAAAGAAAACAGGTCTGTCCCCTGCATCCATCTGCCTGCATTAGAGCTTATATTGAGCTTTGGGGAACTTCACGAATGACCTAGAATGATTTAATTGTACTGTTAATTTATGTTATCTTATATTGAGCTTTGGGGAACTTCACGAATGACCTAGAATGATTTAATTGTACTGTTAATTTATGTTATTCATGAAATCATTCATTCTAATACTATTTGATAGGCAAAAGATGAAGACTCTGACGATGAGAGTTCTGAAGAAAGTGATGATGAGAAGCCTCAAAAGAAAAAGATCAAGGTTCTAGTAGTTTGATGTATCCGCATTTAAATCCAGTTATTGTTCCAACTTTTCTTTTGTTTCTTATTTTCAATTTTCTTAATATTCAGCCATCTGGAGCTCCAAATGCTGTTAAATCAAGCAAGGTGGCTGCTGGAGATGACAGCAGTAGTGAAGAAGAAAGTTCCGATGAGGATGAACCTACGAAAACACAAGAGGCAAAGAAGGTGATTGAGCATTTTCATTGTGGGATTTTGCAAATAACTGATCATGTTAGTTTGAACTAGCCATTGACAAACTTCGTTAGCAGTCTGTCAGTTGTCTCAAAGAAGGGAAGTAGTTCTCTTGTTTTAAGTGGTGAACTCCAATACGTCCATAATTTTTATAATGACATCAAATTTGGCTATTCTGTTCTCTTTCTTGTACTCATGCTTGATATTTCTGGTTGATACAGGACACTGATGTGGAAATGATTGATGCAACAGCTTCAAAGGCAAGTGCTGGGAAAGGGTTTGACAAAACTGTGAGTCATTTATTTTCACCATTATTTTTGGCCCATGTTTGACAGCATGAGTCTATCAAATCTGTTACTGTGGTTTAAGTCAACTTGGATTGGATGTCTAATGTTTGTGCTTGATGGCGGGAGTTGATTAAACTGCATGATGAAATGCTTATTAACTCTAATTTATACTTATCTTTTGTACTTCTTTTTGAAATTTGCAATGCTTATTAACTCTAATTTATACTTACCTTTTGTACTTCTTTTCGAAATTTGGTTTATCGTACTGAATATTTTGACTCATGTTTATGTTTTTTGCTTTTTCATCTTAGCCCAAGACCCCAACCACTCCGAAAGAGCAGTCAACTGGCTCCAAATCTATATTTGTTGCGAATCTTCCCTTTCAAGTTGAGCAAGATGACGTGTAAGCTTCTACTACGGTATACTAAAGTAATTGTTTGTTTCTTTTTTTTTTTTTTTAATCGAACTGTAAAATTTTATTTTTCAGTATGAATTTTTTCAAACCTGCTGGAGAAGTCGTCGATGTTCGTTTTGCCTTTTACCCAGACAATACATTGAAAGGTTATGGTCATGTGGAATTCGCTACGGCTGAAGAAGCACAGAAGGTATTTGTCCATTTCAAACATAAGAATCAGCCACATTGTCCTCTATTTAGCCTTCATTTGATAATGTGTGTATAGTCGAATATTGTACTGAGTCGCACCTGCAGTATGTGTTAGAAACTGTTCTTATAGAAATGGTGATAGTTATGTCATATTGAGCTCTGTCTAAGAGTCGTTCATTCTATTTTTAGATTGCATTTATTATCCCAAATTAATGAGGTTGCACCTTTCTTGTTCCATGTAAAAGGTCTAATTGCATCATTTTTGTATTTGTAGGCTTAGCCTGTTGATTATTCTTTTAGCTGTTATATTCTTTATATTTAGTTCGTTATCTATTGTGATGATGCTCACTAACTCAGCAATGTCGAGGCAAATGATTATATGGTAAATGTGATAGACTGGCATATGTATCCTTACTATAGCATTGTTTTTTATGTGTATAGCGCAATCAACTTTGTTTTCTTTAGACCCCCTCGTTTGTTAATGCAATTGATGTGTACTTGTATCTACTAGGAGATGCCAATGATTTTTAATAATAAATTCTGTGACCCCATTGCTGGTTTTGACTTCATTGTCTTGTGGTTAATCATTCTTGCCAGACCTGCATTTGATGATTGCATTGACTTGGGCCTTCATCTTTTGTGGCATATTTGTAATTTGCCATCAAATTTGCCACGTTTAAATATGTGTAGGCTGTGAACGAATTAAATGGGAATGAGTTGCTTGGCCGTGCTTTGAGGCTTGATCTTGCTAGGGAAAGGGGAGCATACACCCCAAGGAGTGGGTATGACTTCACTTTTCATGTTTGCTTACTCAATGTTTTTGTATGCTATTTGTTCTATATAACGAAAGGTATCTTGATTTCTCTGGTTGCAGAGATTCACAATCTTTCCAAAAGGGACAGAGTGCTCAGGGTCTCAGTGTATTTGTCCGTGGATTTGATAGAAATGATGGTGAAGATCAGGTGTCTATTACACAATCATATAATCCTTTTTTTGGTTGTACATCCTCTTTTAAGTTGTTATCCATTGGGATATAGTAACACTTGTAACTTGCAGATTAGGAACTCATTGAAAGATCATTTTGGTTCTTGTGGTGAAATTGCAAGAGTTTCCATTCCACAAGATCCAGAGGGTGGTGTTAAAGGGTCTGTATTCTATTCATTCCACATTATTATTATCATCATCCTTATCATTGTCATCATCCTCCTGTGTAAAAAACCCTAAAAGAAACTAATATCTTTGTCTTTATTATTAAATTGCGGTTATTTTTGGTAATTTTATTGCAGTTACACATTTGTATGTTACAAGTACGTTGACATATTACATTTTATGACTTGTTGGCTATAAGATTATGATTTTTTGTACTCTGCTTTTTAGATACCTTCTGAAATGCAAATCAATTTTAGGGGATACTTTATTTGCAATCAATTCCCAACTCGTTTCTGCATTCTAGGATCTAATTTGTGGCATTGGGTGATATATTGTTGTGATTTAATCGATACAGTATAGCATATATCGACTTCAAGGATTCAGATGCCTTCAACCAGGCTCTGGAATTAAATGGATCGGAGTTTGGAGAGGGCACCCTTACAGTTGAAGAGGCAAGGTCTCGAGGTGACTCGGGTGGCAGTAGAGGTGGTGGACGGGACTTTAGTAGCCGTGGTAATCGTGGACGAGGCTTTGCCGGCCGCCGTGGCCGGGGACAGGACTTTGGTGGCCGTGGTGATCGTGGTGGCCGTGGTGATCGTGGTGGCCGTGGTGATCGTGGTGGCCGGTTCGGCCGCGGTAGGGGAAGAGGACCCTCAAATAAACCAAATTTGGCTGCACCAGGAACTGGTATGCAAACTAGTCTTTTGCCCCTTATTTTTTGTTTCTTTCAGTTATCCCTGAATGGTTTGTTCCCCCTGACCACATTTATATACCAAGTAGTAGAAGCATGTGAGAAAATTCAGTCTGACTTTGTCAATTGTGACTGTATGCATTGTTTTCTCCTGTGTTCTTCTGAATTCTGGGATTTCGTGGTGTGTTTTTCACTTGTATGTAACTCTACTGTTGCCTTTGTTTCGTTCAGGAAAGAAGACAACATTCAATGACGAGGAGTAGTTTGGTAAAAATGTTTCGTGGGCACCAGAATCATAGCTCTTACACTGGGCTGCCTTGATTATAGCCGAGATTATGGAGCAATTTGGAGTTCTGTTTATTTACTTTTAGTTTGTGTTGCCAAACTCTATGAAGTTGAAATAACTGCATTTATGTTTTAGTATCTCTATAGTTACATATAATGTCATTTATATGCACTATAAAATGATACAATGCATAGGATTTGAAGGATGATTTTTTCTCTATGGATTATAATTTTTGAATGTTTTCAAGCATTGCCATGTGTTGTGATCGTACAAGAATAATAGTGGTTTTGGACATAATTTGGCGAAATCGGGTTCGTAGCTTAGGACTCAATTTTGCGTGTTGGTAAAATTTTGCTTTACGTGTTGGTTATATTGTTTTATAATAGAAATTGATGAGATCATCTTCCAAAGTAATTCGGAGGAAAGACAACTTTGATATGTAGAAAAAGAAAAAGCTCTGCTGTCCCAATTTTTTTTT